AGTGAGTTCCAGGAAAGGCGCAAAGCTACACAGAGAAACCCTGTCTCGAAAAACCAAAAAAAAGAAGAAGAAGAAGAAGGAGGAAGAGGAGGAGGAAGAAGAAGAGGAAGAAGAAGAAGAAGAAGAAGGAGGAGGAGGAGGAGGAAGAAGAAGAAGAATTGGAAAGCTGGCAGCGGTGGCTCACGCCTTTAATCCCTGAACTCCGGGAGGCAGAGGCAGGCGAAGCTCTGTGAGTTCAAGGCCAGCCTGGTCTACAGAGCAAGATCCAGGACAGGCACCAAAGCTACACAGAGAAACCCTGTCTTGAAAAACCAAAATAAATAAATAAATAAAGCAAGCAGAGCTGGAGTCATACAAACACTGGGTAATAGTTTTGAAATGTGCTAGGATAGAGTAGTTGCTAAGATGGAGAAAGCTCAGAGTATTTCCAGTTGGGTCAGCTAATTCCAGAGCACCGAGAGTAGGTTTTTAAATTCTCATCCTCTCTTCCCACAGAAACAGCAGCAGAAAGAAGCGCTCATCGTCTTCTTCAACAGAACAGCAGAAGCTAAAATCCCCTGTGTCATGTAAGTGATCCCCACTGGTCACCTTTTGTGAGCTCTCATGTTGAAAAGCAGTGATTGCGGGATGGGACAGGAAGATGGCCCAGTGAGTGTAGTGCTTGCCTTGAGTTTGGGATATAAATAAGGGCAATGAGTAGTGGGATAGATCCAATTAGGGTGTAAAATAGGAAATAATTGTCACACACAGAAAGCCTGAGGCCGCCGGCGGTGGTGTCGCACGCCTTTAATCCCAGCACTCGGGAGGCAGAGCCAACCGGATCTCTGTGAGTTCGAGGTCAGCCTGGTCTACAGAGTGAGATCTAGGAAAGGCTCCAAAACTACACAGAGAAACCCTGTCTCGAAAAACCAAAAAAAAAAAAAAAAAAAAAAAAAAAAAAAAAAAAAAAAAAAGCCTGGGGCCACGGCCCACATCTGTAATCCCAGCTGTGGGGAGACAAAGATGGACAGATGCTTGCAGCTTGCTGGTCAGCCAGCCTAGCCGATCTCCAGGTTCAGTAAGAGACCTTTTGACTGAGGTCACTGGGAAGATTAAGGAGGATGCCTGATGTTGCTCTCTGGCCTCTGTACACACAGACACACACATGTGCATCACTGCAGTTGGGACTTGAGGCAATCCTAACAATGTGCACTTTGCCTGATTTTTTTCATTGCCTGACATCATGTGCTGTTGGTGGGATGATGGCCAAAGTGACTCATTCACGAGGAAAGCGAATTTTCTGTGAGCCAAGTAGTGCCACACTATCTGTGAGACTGAGACCTGTGTATAAAGAGAGAAAGGAACCGGCTTGGTCCGTTCACTCATCCCCAGACCCCCTGGCCAACCACCTGGTCCTGAAGTGCCCCTGCTGACCCATTTCTTACATGCTGCTGAGTGACAGATGGCAAGGGGAAAGTTGTCTGCTTCATTTCCCACAAATCCAGGGTGCATTTCTTCAGCCCCAACCACTCGTTTCCCCTAGAATTTGAAACAAATCCTCATTGGTTGGTTGTTTGGTATTGGTTTTGTTTGCTTTTTGCAATGCCAGAGCTCAAACCCAGAGCCCTGTACAAAGTAGGCAAGCACACTACATGGAAACGCATCCCAAGCTCAAGTCCAGCCATCTTGTTACCTCATAAACTTGGGCCATGCCTTGTCAAAATTCTGTCTAAAATGTATGGTGCTTTATTGTTTCTAAACAATTTTTACCTCAGTGTGTCTCACACTTAGAGCCTCTTTGTTGAATCTGGAGGGTGACTACTGGCCCAGTTTTTAAAGTGTAGGTACTGAGCAAATCTCATGTGTCTCTAGATCTTCCAGTCACACACATCTAATGAGTAGAAATTAGATTGTAAATTGTAAAAACCCAATTTCCTCTGCTAGCTGCTTCTCTTCCCCCTTTTGCTGCTGTTCATTTTCTTTTTAATGGGCATCTTTCATCAGTGAGACAGACAGGAGTATCGTAGTAGGTGAGTGTGTCCGTTCTGGGGATGAAAGAGAAACTCGAAGGGAGCAGAGCTGTGTCAGCTGTGGAGAGAAAGGGCCATTAGAAAAACTGGGGCCAGAGGTTTTTATGAGCTGACCAAGTTGATTTTGTGACCCTGGGGCATTTCAGTGCTATGGCAATCAACTTCCACTTATCTCATGGCAAATTTTATGTCTCTCAGAATAATTCGATTCTGTTAATACAGTCCTTACAAATTGAAGTCTAATTTGGTACTTTGGTCAGTTGTATTTTTGTTTGAAAATAAGTCTTAGATGTTCACAGGACAGTCATTTACCTTTCCAGACAGGCCTGTGTCATAGGAAGCTGCCCCGATCTGTCCTTCCCAAAGAAGGCCGTGATTACTCTGCCTAGACAAGCCTCCACATTCGCCTTCTGCAATACTGTTTGCTGTCTGTTTCACTGAAAGATGCACATTAGATTGACAATCTCATTCCTACTCATTAGACATGTGTGACTGGGAGGTCTGGAGACTCACAGGAGATTTGTACACGGGCTGGGGGAGGGCTCTTGTGCCCCAAAAGGAAAGCAATAGTTACCTGTACAGATCACCCCTGCCTTTAAGACCCAAGGCTTGTAGGTAAAAATATGAAGTTAAGAAAAAACACAGTGCAGGCTGGAGAGATGGCGTAGTGATTAAGAGCACTGACTGCTCTTGTAGAGGACCTAGATTTGGTTCCTAGCACGTATGGAACTCCTCACAGTTGTCTATAACTTTCTGTTCAGGGGATCTGACTCCCTCTTCTGGCCTGTGTGGGCCCTACACACACATGGTGAACATACATACATGTAGGCAAACACTCAGGCACATTAAATAAACAATTAAAAAACCACACACTGAATAGAAAAGTAAATTAATGAGAAAAGACCTCCATTAGCGCTGATTAACTATGGGCTCTGTCATCTGTGGTCTCAGTAGAAGGGAAGTGGAGAGTCCCCCTTACGTGTCTTTTCTGTATCGTCACTGATTTCTCAACGGTGACCTTACAGGGATTTGTGTCAAGAATCCTCTAACCTGCTTCGGTTTATACTGAAAAGAGATTAATTGGTAGTAGCAGCTAACGTGAAAGCTGATGATTATGTTAGTAATCTACAGGACGCGAATCCCACATAGTAACATACCAGAGACACGTAGAGCTCTTGCTTACAGAGAATTCAGATTGTGTGTGTAGGATGACAGTACAAACTCTTTCTCCATGTGTCGGAGGATGGTTTTCCTCCTTTGTGCTGTTCATATGACATGGTGTGAGTAAAGGGGGAGGTTGGCTCTCAGAAAAGGAGAGAATGGGCAGGAGCGGGCAGGTGCCTCGTAGGTTCTTGAAGTCCCTTTTGGGTAACCAACTGCAATTCTGCGTTTAATCTACTTTGTTATCATTGTCAACTCTAGTGAATATATCCTGGACCTTTTGGAGAGTGGACGAGAGAAGTTTCTAGTGTTTGCACACCATAAGGTGGTCCTGGATGCAGTTGTTAAGGAGCTCGAGAGGAAGGTAAGCCCTCTCTGAAGTCCAGGGGGGTCTTCATGTCTACTGTTTGTTCCGCACAGCATCGGGTCAGGACTAGGCTGAGGAGTGAGGCCTTTTGAGGAGTCGTCACCCGGGGAACCACAGATTCCCACAGGCGGCGTTCTGACATCCTCCTGCTATAAGCTCTCCCTTTCTCTGCGTTCATAAGACAGCTAACCTGCGAGGAAGCGGCCGAGCGTCTACGTGACTGTCCTCCTCCCTGTCATCCAGGGGCCTTCATTGGTGGCACCTGGCAGTGTCAGCCTTCTCAGATCCATTTGATGGATCTTGATAAAGTGAGCAAAGCTGTCTGGAGGGAGTTCCAGAGATGCTCATTAAAACGAAACCCCCACTC